TAAAAACCAACCAACCAACCAACCAACAACGAAATGCCAGTCTATGGACTGCGATGGCTTTGACTACAGCAAGTGTACAAGTGGCGAGACAGACTGCGGCGCCTTCGGAAAGGGCTACTGCGTATCCGGGACGGAGTACGACTCAACCGTCGGTAAGTAACAATACCTTTCAAATAATTCGGGGTATAGCGCGAACCTGCGATTCGGGCCTGAAATAGAACATCTAAAGTCACGTGGTAAAGTGCGTACTATACAGTATACTCCGTTTTGTTGAAGGATACATACATGTACATGTACAGTCAACTTCGCTAATAACGACTGCGGATATAACGACAATTCGCGAATAACGACATAATTTTCATGGCCAGAGCAAAGTCCCATCCAACTGTGCCACATAATTATAATGAGACTTCGTGTATAACGACACTTCGCGAATAAGGACACTTTTCTGATGCCCCGCCGCCGAGTGTCGTTATAAGCGAAGTTGACTGTGCATGTTAGTTGTTACCGGCATGGAATACTTGTGTAATCAACGGTGCTAGTGAAGCTTATAGCAGATCCACTCTGGTTTAGCCATCCACACTAGTAGCAAGTATTACCTTCACTGGGGACAGGCGCAAATGCAGTTGGATCCCGGGACGGATACCAGGAATTACCTTGATGCCGTCAATCCTTTTTCTGCACCTTGTTATTATTATTATTCACACATATCCGCCGGATGAGTACGCGTGGCCCATGCACCATGGGGACCCACGAATACAAACCAGCATATGTTCCCTCAGCAATACAAGCAAGCAAGCACGCAAAGATAAATGAGAGACCAGGCAGCGAAAACAAAACGAAGAGAGATGAGGACATAGGCAACGAAAACAATTCCAAAGCATACCCAGGGATTGAATGTGTGCATCTGGGTACGACAGTTAACACGGCTAGTGCAGCCGTACAGAGCGCAGCAGCATGAAAATACAAAAGTGCCACAGCAGCAGCAGCCAGGAGTGTGCAAACACTAAAAAAGAAGATCAGTCCATGAAAAAATTATTGTCGCCACAGGTAAACATCTCCGGCAAGAATGCATGCGTGCGCACAAGTAGGCAGGCAAGCATGTCAGATGTAATCGTATTATTATGGCCAGGCTAATTAACAGTGCTGTTTCGCAATGAATTCCATCGGCATTTATCATACGCCACCTTCCGAAGCTGGGCTAGGCCAGGTCGCGACAGAAGCACAAGCCCCAGCTTCTCCCGACAATCCAGTGTTCACCTTGTTCCCACCCACTAACTGAGGTGTAGTGAGCCCATAAGTGGGATCATTTCCAAGTCCACCCAGAGTTTGGGGATTTCAGGGGGTGTCGGCTGTTGGGCGGTTCAATAGCCAGTTGAGTCATCTTTCCAAGATTCCTGTGGAGTCTCTCTCCCCTCTAGCTCTACTGGGAAGACCCAAGTGACCAGTTTTGGCAGTGAGAAAGTACAAGTACAAGTGTGTGTGTGTGTGTGTGTGTGTGTGTGTGTGTGTGTGTGTGTGTGTGTGTGTGTGTGTGTGTGTGTGTGTGTGCCAGCTAGTTCGGTTGGTGGGTACACTTATGCCAGATAGTGTTGGGCCTGTTGCCAACGGGCTTGGCTGCTTGAAGGTGTATTGTTGTACCTACCACCTTTGTTGGTTTCAGGGTTCATATCCTTTCTATTTGAAGTATACATACCTGTTAACCATGGACTGCTTCTGGCTAGATTAACTCTTGTGTAATCAATGGTGCTAGTGAAGCTTGTATCAGATCCACTCTGATTTAGCCACCCACACTAGTACCAAGTATTACCTTCACTGGGGGCAGGGGGTACCTGCAGTTGGATCCCGGGACGGATACCCTGATGCCGTCAATCCTTTTTCTGCACCTTGTCCTCACCCACTTACTGAGGTGTGGTGAGCCCATAAGTGGGATCATTTCAAATCCACCCTAGTTTGGGGATGTCAGGGGGTGTCGGCCGTTGGGTGGTTCAATGGCCAATTGAGTCATCTTTCCAAGATTCCTTTTGAGTCTCTCTCCCCTCTCCCAGGGAGACCCACGTGACCAGTTTTGGCAGTGAGCAAGTACAAGTACAAGTGTGTGTGTGTGTGTGTGTGTGTGTGTGTGTGTGTGTGTGTGTGTGTGTGTGTGTGTGTGTGTGTGTGTGTGTGTGTGTGGTGTATGTGTGTGTGTGTGTGTGTGTGTGTGTGTGTGTGTGTGTGTGTCGTGGTGGTGGTGTGTGTGTGTGTGTGTGTGTGTGTGGTGGTGGTGTGTGTGTATGTGTGTGTGCGTGTGTGTTTTGGTACATGTACATGTATGTGATATGTTGTATGCCTCTGATCTCCGCTGATGAGACCTAACAATGTCGAAATAGCTACTAGTAGCTGCCCCGAGGTTTAGTATATCTGTCTGTGCGTCTGTCTGTGTGTACGTCTGTCTGTCTGTCTGTCTGGTGCATGTAAGTGTGGGTCTGGCATCCTCCAACGGCCAAGAAGGGTCAAGAAGGACCACGCGGATTGCCTGCAGGACTTGTGCACTTGCGTGACGTGCCACTGTCTGTGTGTGTGTGTGGGGGGGGGTGTTTGTGATGTGGGTGTGTGCGTGTGTGTGCGTAAGTGCTTATGATATTGTATGTGCGTACGAACTCCACGGTCCAGTATTTAGCCTGTAGATGCTGTACAGCATGCACCTGTATTCATTGTGTCTATTTTGCCCCTAAAAAAGGCCGTAGTAGTACAGCGTGTATGTGTACGTGTCTTGGTCTGCGAGTAGACAATGCCATGCGGGTAGGGGTGTGCGGATAATGCTCGAAAAGGTGGCAGACTCTGCTCAAAAAGCAGTGATATTGGCAGAGCCATACAAACCTTATGGCGGGCAATTCCTCGAATTCTGCTCCATTTCTTTATCCACATACCAAACATGCATGAAACTTACCAGGAAAAGTACCGAATTCTGCCAATTTTTCTGCCGGTACTATCCGCATATGCCTACATGCGCGTGATACCAAGAGTACATTGTACATAACCGCCTGTACTCTTGGTGATACACATGTACTACAATCAATGGGCGTGTGCATGTACATAGCTTTGTCTCTATTGCAATTGCAGTGAACCACCGTGGTGATGAAGGCGTTGGACAGATGTTTGCCTAAACTTTGATTGAAATGCACGCAGCACGCCAATCACTATCTGGCGGTGTGCTACTTTTTCTAAACTGGCTCGTCTTGTCCTTGTGCTATCCTTGTGCTCCTGGGAACAGGTTTCCAGCTGAAATGGAAGAAGGGATGTGACAAGGATTTCACGCTTAAGGTCAACTGCGGTGCCCAGAATACTAGCAGAGACATTAAGGTCAACTGCGGTGCCCAGAATACTAGCAGAGACATTGAGACCAGTCCATTCGATAGCTCAGTGGTCATCGAGGCCAATGTCTACCAGTGTTGCTATGGGGATAACTGCAACACCGGCAGGCCACCCAGGGATCCAGGTGGCAAGGGTCCCCCCGCATTGACCAGCGGCCCTGCTGTGCCACCATCTACTGGCGGACCTGTAGGACAACCGTCTACCGGCGGCCCTGCTGCAGCTGTGACAACATCGTCGGCTTCGTGGCCTCGCGGTCAGCTTGCAGCGCTGCTACTGAGTGCAGCGGCTGCATATGTGATGCACTAGCGGAATGCTGCGAAACTGTTACTAGAGTAAGGGAAGGAAAGAAGATAGAGGGAGAGAGACAGCTAGAGATTGTGAAAGGCGCAACTAAATTACTTCATCCTTCGGCGAATCTCTTTGCTGACTAGTAGGACGAGATATTGCTGTACTTTGCACAACGATTGTGTGTGTTGCCCACTCGCGCATTCGACTGTTCTCCACGCACGTTTCTGTCTTACCTTGCTATACTCTTCTGGAGGTCTGTTTTATACACCATAATTTTCGTTATGGTGGTCACCATAATTTTCGTGAATACAATAACAGAATGATACAATGATATGTGCACAATAACATGTATAGTGTTTTAAAAACAGGTTTCGTGGAAATGAAATAAACGCAGTAACTAAAGCAAGTTGCGCATTGAATGCACACACACACTCGCACACACACACACACACACACACACACGCGCGCGCGCACACACACACACACACACCATTCGCACGGGTTGGGTATCCTTGAACGTTTTAGTTGCCATCATAATCTCTTTAGATGGATTTGCTCATTTTACTGGCAAAGCTAAATCAACGATTTACACAATGTAAATACAGGTAAAGTTTACTCAAAAATGCCGTGAGGTGAAATAGTGCACGTATCAGTGAAACCATTTAGAGGTGAGAACAGAAGCCACTAATAAAAAAACAGTTGCAATCACAAGCTAAGAGATAAGTTAACAACTTCAAGGAGGTACAATATACAACACTGAGAAGTGAGAACATACCCCGACCCACAAGCAGCAGTCAAGTGGACTTAGTATCCGACATATCCTATCCCAGAACACTGAGCAAAGAGTTGAAGCGTGCAACTAACTTATGGCAGAAAATATTCTGAACTCTGAAGCGCTTGCAGACAATAATAATAATTATTATTATACTGATGCTTGTAGGGCATCATAAAAACTGATGCCAGGATAGGGATCTTTATTTTCAGATTACTCAAAGACTAACGCCTATCGGGAGGATCTCCTATTTGCGTATGTACAGGGAACATAGTCAAGGGGATGCGAGAACGTACGCAAAGTGAGAGTGAAATGAAAGATAGTAATGATAAGAAACACAGAGAAAGAACAATCAGGTGGATAGAAGTGAAGAGGCATGCATGAGCCTGTATGAGCAAGTCATGAGCGATCCCAGGTGATGGAAAGGTATCATGCGTCTTCCACACGTCCACATGCTAACACTGTAATGACGAGAAGGCCATCACAGCATTGGTGGAAAGGTTAAATACAAGTCACTGAGACGTTGACTGTGTGCACGTGTCCAGAACCGACCTGTCCTGGATTATGGCCGGACGGCTGTGACTTACAGCATAATATACGCCACACAGCCACTGCCTAGCAGAGTCAGAACCTGGCCAAAACGGGCATGGACGGACGTTGCCGAATTGAATTGAATTGAATTGGTAGGACCATTATCAAGCACATCGGTCCCGTCTCCGATATTTCCCAATCCGTCGCCAATTGCACCAAACGCGTCGCCAAATGCATCAAAAAACGAGTTGCCAATTCCACCCGCCGCGTCGCCACCAGCATTACCCACTCCGTCGCCAATTGCATCAAACGCGTTCCTGATTCCCTCCTCCGCAGCACCACCAAACACACCGCTGAAGCCAGGGTGGACCAATCCGTCGCCAATTGCATCAAACGCGTTGCCGATTCCACCCGCCGCGTCAACACCAGCATTACCCAACCCGTCACCAACTACATCAAAAAACGCGTTGCCAATTCCACCCGCCGCGTCGCCACCAGCATTACCCACTCCGTCGCCAATTGCAGCAAACGCGTTCCCGATTGCCTCCTCCGCGGCACCACCGAACGCACCCCCGCTGAAGCCGGGGCGGAATGGACTATTATCTTGTTGCGCCTTGCTATGACATAGCTGAAGGACCAGAGCGGCCAGACAAGCAAACAGCAGGGCGCGGGCCATTCTTTACGGTACAAGTGAGACTTTCAAAAGAATTATAATGATGCACTGAGACTGGAAGGAGGAACTCGACTGACTTTCTACTGTCCTTTTCGCTGGTATTTATACGCTGTTCGTGCTTGTGATGGTATCACGGTGTTGGTGGTGGGGCTTTGCGAATAAGAAAATTCCTACCGATGTGCTTGTGCAGTGTTTATACAACTGTGATGTGGGTGTGTGGGTGTATAATAATTATTGTGTGTGTGTGTGTGTGTGTGTGTTTGTGTGTGCGTGTGTGTGTGCGTGACGTTTTCATTTACAACCACCCACCGGAACACGCCACGAAGCTTGGACTATGCATGCGGCTGTGAGTGAATGTACATTGTACATGATTGCATAGTCACGGTAGTACACGGTGTACATGTATGGGCACTGTCTGTGCATGTACTATGAGTATGAATACTATGATGCACTTGGACTGGAGTGCAATCACTCTTGCTAGATATCTACTGTACAAGCAGAAATATTCGTCTGGAATTTAATTTCGTCTTTTTCGTCCAAGGAGCTTTGGGACTAAATTAAATGACGGACGAATGTCGATTTGTCCAGCGTTTCAATACACTGTTATAGTCCATGGACTAAATTTTCAACCGGACGAAATCCCTTTCTTTGGAGTTTAGACGAAATTATTGACCGACGAAATTTTCTGCCTGTACAGTACATGATAGCGCACTGCAGTGACGACGTCGCGTCGGTGAATAGCCGAGATTTGAGTTTGAGCTGGCGGAGCTCTATGATGTCATTGGTAAGTGCATGCGACTGGTGAATAGTCGAGCGAAGCCAGCGTCACGCTTACCAGCGTTACCAGCACAGCGTGGGCGGGATAACAGTCATCCATGTACGAACAGTGTACACTGTACACTGTACAGTGTACCATGCATGGTGTACAGGATTTCGAGGGCCCGAAACAATACTGTCAATAGATTACTACACTTTCGTGAACAGAACAATCTTTTTCAGTCGGTTTGTCGGAACACTTGATCGGAATACTCCCGGAAAATCGGAATAGAACAAGTCGAGGCCATGACAATATTGGACAGCCCTCTGGCACATGAAAGTGCATGTACATGTACATGTAACACGGTGAACTATGATCAACTACATGTACATTGTACAAGTAGTGACAGCGAGTTGAAAGCAAAAAAAAATCAAGTTAGAAAAATCTGATAGTTGTGCCACCAAAAATCGCATTCAAAAGTCTGGTTCATGAACATTACCATTTCCTCTTTCAGAATTTGGGTACAATACAGTTTTCTAAATATCAAATTCCATCATACAGTCATTGTATCTCAATGAATTGCCTCGCTGAAGACCTTTCCAATGGGCCGTCATTTGCGTAAATCGGACAATCGGTCGCAAAGTTATGGTACATGTGCTTTTAATGGCGTGGCTACATGACTGTACAAGTCGTGTAGCCACGCCATGTTTGCCTACATGTACATGATTGTACATGTATGTCGAACATTTTGAGGGGGGTCCATGACCACCCAAAGACAAAGTGTAGCGTTGGCACGCTGGTGGCACAGTACTAAGCACACACAGCTGCAGCGTGAATCACTCTCAAAGTGTCAATGTATTGGTCACGCGTGTCGCACTTGCAACTCTGTACCGTGCTTGAAGATCCATGATATGGATAGTAACTACTGTAGTCTCACTGTATTCAATGTTTCATATTGACCTTAGAAATACACGTACACTCTAGACCTTTTGTTTTGCTGCACTTTCAACCACCTCTTTTACGCCCATTGGCATTGCCCACACCGCTATTCAGCTCCTTCTTCTGCATAGGACCAAATGGCATTCCTTGTGCAGTGACCCATTCTGCTGCCCACACATCTACTTTTGACCTTTCTTCTTCTCTCTGCTGAGCGACTGCGGCCCGCTACAAAAGCCCCCCCCCCCCCCTCTGAGTACGCCACTGCCTTGCTGTGGGGAGGCTGGGAAAGAAGAGTGGCGTGGAGGAAGTTCCAGTCACTAATACCAAGAGTATTCCCAATACTAATAGCAAGAGCATCTAAACAGTATATAATATGTACTCTTGCTAATACATGTAGTAATACTGCAGTGTGGGAACGAGCGCTTCAATGCCGGCGGGACAGATGTAAGCAGCTGGTGGTGGAGCTGGGGGATGATGTCCGCAGTACTCTTATGGCACATACATGTACATGTACATGTAGCAGTGTCATTTCCTCAGTTTGCACCTTTTATCCGTGTGTTAACACTTACATGTAGCACGTATATTACCTCTAAGCAAGCGTGGGATCGTGCTTCTTCCGATTCCATTCAGTGCTTATACACTTGTAACTGTGCATTCGAATTAGTTCTAGCTATTCATTATTCTAAACCTTCACTGAGGAGACCTTACAATGCTCGAAACGGCGCTGTATGGAGGAAATGTTATATATTTTTTTTGTCAGTATCTACATGTACACCTTGGAGTCTTGTTGCTTGTTTGATGGTCGGCCAGAGAGCGCATGTGATGGTGGAGGTGGAATTCCTACGTGTACAGTGTACATCGCGCATACAATTATTCCAGGGTGGATCTACACGTCACACTAATCTTTACACTGTACTACTACCCATCGAGGGATAACTGTCAGTTCAGTAGTCATATTTTAGTACATGTACCTGTATGCCACTTTGTGTACGTACTCTTCATTTTCTTTTTTTCTCTTCTTCCGTGGTTGGTCTCACCCTCTCCTCAATTCAATTGGCTGTCTTGGCATGCCACGAGGTGCAGAAATAAATAAATAATAAAAATAAAATAAAATAAAATGTGTACTTTTAGGCCGAGTAAAAAAAATTACTAGATGATCGTCCTTTTTTTTGGAAAAATCGGGGAGGGCGGGAGGATTTTATTTTTATTTTTTTACTTTTTACCCTCTCATGCACACAGTGTACACAACAACATCAAGGTTTTTTTCTCTTTTTTTCTTTTTATACAAATAATCTACGTGGAGATAAAAGTTTAATAATAGCAATGAAAAGTATGAATGCCGCAGACATCACCACGCAACATGACAATTTGTTCAAGGTTTGGTTTTGTGTGCTTACAAATCGATTTGGTTTTGTGTGCTTACAAATCGATTTTGGAAACACACAAAACCAAACCTTGAACAAATTGTCATGTTGCGTGGTGATGTCTGCGGCATTCATACTTTTTTCTTTTTTTTTCTTTTTTTCTTTTTCTTTCTTCAGCAGATCGATACTGACGTTGTGATATACTAGTAGTATGTGGTCCATATAGTAAAGAAAGTATTAAACAAAGCGTGCACATGTTTCCTGCATCCGCGATCGGTAAAAAACCAACGATTTCGGCAAAAACTCACGATTTAAAAAATAAAATATTTCTTGGGGCGCTGACAAAAACTGGGGCGGACGGGGACGATCATCTAGCTTTTTTTTTTACTTGGCCTTACAAAAATATAATTATTTCTATTTCAACAGCATTGGGTAATTATTTCTATTTCTCATTTTTCATTTGTGTTGGGTTTAACTATTCACTGTGCTGATGCATGGTGATGATTGTGCTTCACTTTGCCGGTAAAAGAGGCCTTTTCACTGTATGTGTACTTTCTATTTGAAGTATACAATCCTAGCTGTTGACTGAAGCCGAAAGACTACTTCTGGCTCAAGTGGTTACTCGTGCATAATCAATGGTGCTAAGGAGACCTTGATCAGATCCACTCTGAGTTAGCCACCCACACATTTTGATCAGCGGCTTTTGTTCTCACCTCTCATTGATACTTGACGTCTTGTATTATTTCACCTCACGGCATTTTGCTTTGAGCACTTCAAAGCATTTTATAATTATTGTGTTTCTAGAAAGGTGTTAGAAATAACATCATGATACAAGTGCAATGAAACCACTAGAGGAAACGCAAAAAGGTAACAAGATTACGTACCCAAAGGTGAGAAGGCACTGAACGAAGTGTCAACCTACGAATACAACCTCAGTGCAACAACGTGCTCTTTCTGCTTACACAAAACAGGCTTATGAATACATGTACGTATACAAACTGCCTCAAGGACTTTCAACTGTTGGACATGACGCGCACGACACAGTACAGAAAAAATGAGAGTCATCATACACACCAAGACAGTCAGGACGAGATAACAAGTGTAGATACACAGCCGACTTCTTACGATCAACACATGCATCCGCCTCATCTCGCTCTTTCCCATCCGACTCCTCCTCGTCCATCTCATCGCCCTCTTCCTCGTTCCGCACGTCATCCCCACGATCATCATCTGCCTCGTCCTCTGTCTCTTCACCAATCGTTTCGTCATCCAATTCCTCTTCCATCCTCTGATCATCCGTCTCATCCTCCGTTTCTGTACAGACCACTTGTCTCCCATTTGCTAGCTGCTCGTCCCGTGACCGGAGTTGTTCCTCCAGATCCGCTTCACTCACTGACTCATGATACTGCTCGACCCTCCTCCTGTTTGTACTCTCCGCAACGCGGTCCTTGGCCGTTTCTGGCATAAATCGCTGTGGAGTAGTTTGCTGTTGCCCTCCGAGGTCCCTGGATTAATGTGGGCGCCGTGGCAATTCGTGTGAGAGTTGGTGATGCCAGCGCGGGTGTAGGTGGGTCCACCCCAGCCCCCGCCACAAGAAGAGCCGGTGGCGGTTCTGGTGGTGGCAAGGGCAACGGTGGTGCTGCTGGAGTTGGCAACTTGGGCGGCCTAGCTCTCCCACACAGCACTGCATTTCGTGTTGACTCAGTCTGTACCACTGGCACAGGGGGTGGGTTCTTGCGCGGTCGGCCAGGCTTCGGCCGCTTGGATTTATCTGCATCCGGCAGAATATGCAGCGGTACATGCTGTTTGATACGTGCGGTCAGGTGTTGAAGGGTCCTACCAACGTACCGGCTACCACAATTCCGGCACTCAAATTGGTAAACCAAATGGCTCAAAAGATGGGATGGTAGGACATTCTTCCTCACCATGAACGTGCGTATCGT